TTTTTTAAGACAGTCTCACTCTGTTGCACAGGCTGGAGTGCAGTGGTTTGATCTCAGCTTGCTGCAACCTCTGCTTCCCGGGTTTAAGTGATTTTCCTGCCTTAATCTCATAGAGGGGACTACAGGCACGTGTCACCATGCCCAGTTAATTTTTGTATTGTAGTTGACATGGAGTTTCACCATGTTGGCCAGGCTGGTCTTGAACTTCTGACCTCAAGTGAACCACCCACCTTAGCCTCCCAAAGTGCTGGAATTACAGGTGTGAGCCATTGCGCCTGGTCTTATTTATTTTTTATGACAGGGTCTCACTCTTGTCACTCAGGTGGAGGGCAGTGGCAACAACATGGATCACTGCAGCCTTGACTTCTTGGGCTCAGGTAATCCTCCTACCTCAGCCTCCTGAGCAGCTGGGACTAGGGGTCAGTGCTACCACATCATTTAGGTGACAGTCTTCTCTCCAGCCACCCACCTTTGCTGAGTCATAGTGACCTGGATTCTTTAACACACAGAATATTTCTTTTTCTGAGACAGGGTCTTGCTCTGTCACCCAGGCTAGATTAGAGTGCAGTGGCGCGATCTCAGCTCACTGCAACTTTCGCCTTCCGGCCTCACTAATTTTTAAAGTTTTAGTAGAGATGGGTTTTGCCATGCTGCCCAGGCTAGTCTCTTAACTCCTGGGCTCAAGTTATCCATGCACCATGGCCTCTCAAAATGCTAGGATTACAGGCATGGGCCTCTGCAACCAATTTGTTTTATTAACTCTTTTTTTTGAGAGATGCAGTTTTGTTCTGTCCCCCAAGTGGAGTGCAGTGGTACGAGCTCGGCTCACTACAACCTCCGACATCTGGGTTCAAGTGATTCTCCTGCCTCAGCCTCCTGAGTATCTGGGACTACAGGAGCGTGCCACCATGCCTGGCTAAGTTTTGTATTTTTTTAGTAGTGATAGGATTTCACCATATGATGGCCAGGCTGGTCTCAAATTCCTGACTTCAGGTGATCTGCCCACCTTGGCCTCCCAAGGTGCTGGGATTACAGGCGTGAGCCACGGCACTCAGCCTGTTCATTAACTCTTGAAGGTCACTTTTTTTGCTACAGAGTCTTAGTTCCTCCTTAGTACATGAAAGAAAAGGGCTTCTAAGAAGTGGCTAAAGAAGACACAGTTCAATGGGGACTGGGGGTGTGAGTACTACTTGATTGGACTAGTGCCCACTGTGTGAAGTAGCAAACCACTGAACTCCTTTGACACCACACTTACCAGAGAGCAAGACACTCCAAGCCAGTGGTTCCCAAACGTCAGCATCACAATCCCCATGGAGGGCTTGTTAGTTACAACATAGATTTCTGGCTAGAATTGCTAATTCCGTAGGTCTGATCTGGGGCCCAAGAATCTGCATTTCTAACAATTCCAGGTGATGTGGATGCTGCTTGTCTGGGGACCACACTCGG